GGCAACGGACAAAAAGTGAGGTTTTGAAATCTTCTATATATAATATATAAAAATGAATCCCTATTTCCCTTGGTCACGCCATCGCGCATGAACGGCTGGACCGATTTAACTATTTTTTTTGTTGTGTTTGTTATTGTCAGGAGAATTTTCTTATGAAAGAAAAAATTTAAAAATTGCGCAGAAAATTATAAAATTTAAGACGTTTTTTGAGACGCTAGTTCGTTATAAATTGTTCTGAAAATATTAGGCATATATATACTTCTAGGGGATATGATGTACATGATACATATCTTTTTTATTTAACGTTTAGTTATCAAGTATGATGGGATTCTAAAGTATTGATCAGATTAACGGAACGGTTTTTTTGGATTCTTTTGTCATATTATAATTAGTAATAAAATAATAAATGTAGTGTTCCGTATAAAAAAATACTGTTGTATTTGATTTTTAAATCAGATTCCAAATTTGAATTATTTTTCTAGTGTAAAACCGGAAATAAACATATGAAATAAAATTTTTAATAACTTCGGCCATTTTAATTTTCATTTTTTTTACTCAAAATAAAGCTTAATATACATAAACTTTACAAATTTTGAGCAAATATTCGTTTATGCTATGCTAATAAATATAAACATACATATATAAGAAAAAACGTACAGACAAATTTCATGTTGGTAGAAAACAAAATCTAAACATAATTTATGCGCCGGAGTTTAACTACACTAAATAAAAAAAAATATATTTACGCGTTACATTACATAAGTCTAAACGACATAAGCCACAACACACGTCAACACAACAATATAAAAAAATGGCTGCGAATAACCTTTACGCGCGGGTGAAATAAAACTTCTTTGGCAAATATTGAAATTAAATTAAAACAAATCAGTAATTAAATAAAACATATTAGGGATATTACAATCACATATTTATACAATATCATATACGGAAAGAATATAATCTGTATAAATATTATAAATGTGAAAGTTGGTGAGTGTATACGGATGTTTGTTACTCTTTCACGCCAGAACGGTTTTTTTGGCACAGAGATAGATTATAGTATGAAATAACACATAGATTACTTTTATCTCGGAAAAATATACGGTTTCCGAGGGACAGATTTTTTTTGGTCTTCTAGAGGTGAACCCGAGCGAAGCTAGGGTGAGCCGCTAGTATTATAATATTTGTCAGACAATAACAATGGTTACCGTGGTAAGATGGTAATGTATTCTATCTCATTCTCTCGCGGGCTTAATCCTATATATTTATGTGTTTGTCTCTTTTTAGTGTCGCATTTTCGTTTTATCGAATTTAAAAAAACAATTCTAAAGAAGTTTCACTTCAAAAAGCAAGATTTACGCGTTGCATACGCGTAAATATTGCTGCATGCATGCATGCGTAAGGCACAACATACATCAATACCATCAACATTAAAAAAAATACAATTTTTGTCCAACGGTGTATGACGCTCGTTATACACAAGGGCTCTGCAAATAGAGGGAGGCCGTTTTTCTTCGCATAGACTCAATTGTCTTTGTTATATTCCTTTGGGTCCTTAAATGATAGTGCCCTTTGTAACAAACAAGGCAAATTAAGGTCGAAATTTTTCCCTGATCGTTGTCGCAGAGATTGCACATCATAGTGACATGTAGGGTTCAAAATTTTATTAGTATGTACATTTTGGGATTTACGTCACGCAGATATTATTTTTGGGATAGAAGCACTTGCTTTTTATGTTACTATATAAACCTTTCTTTGGGACTTTTGTTATATGAATATTTTTTAATCTTATTTGGCTGGTTTAGCAATGCAAATTTACATGGGCTGTAAATAAAAGATAAAATACCGGTTTTTCTAGTTAAGTAAGAGAGTTTCCCTTATTACAGAAATTGTTTTTCCCTGAACTTTTTTGGTTAGTAAATGATTTATTGTGTACTGTACTAAATTTTTCTAAATCTTTCCTTTAACAAAAAAATAACAAAAAAAGCATAAAAATAAGAAATATAATATATGAAGTAAAATAATAAAGGTAAGATTTATGTACATAAATAGTAACAAAATAAGGTAATGTATGTACAAACAATGAGTACCGAATCAAAATACTGTAGAATCATACTCGTCACAGTCTCCTTCCGTTAATGGACAAGGGACTGTAAAACTCTTATTAAAACTATTTTTGAAATCTAGAATAACTCTTTCTGGAATATATTACCTAAGTTTCTTTTGAAAGCATTATGACATTTAAGTAGAAAAACAATATACATGTGTATCTTCAAAATAATTTACAAAAGAAATGCAGTAAAATTAAATGTCAAAATTAGGTAAAATGTACAGACAAACAAACAGATAGTAGCTAGCTATTAAAATATAAATAAACTTCTAACATGCCAACAATGCTAATGGTAACTGACGTTTTACAAAACAAAGTTATATCGTAGTCTACGATCTTTCTAAGTAAACACAAACTTAACTTCAATAGATAGAGTTACCGAGTTATTTGTTTTGTTCTAAGTTAATACTAACTTTGCAAATTGTTTTATTATATATTCTAATTTTTCAACTAAGTCTCAAGTTTGTGTTATATGAAGTCTATTACAATATTGGAAATTAGATAATTTATGTATATACTAGCGGCTCACCCTTGCTTCGCTTGGGTTCGTCCCTATGTACGTTTTAAATAGACATAAATAGTCATTAGCCAGCGTCAGCCATATAATTTCGTTTTCGTGATGTTTTCTGACGTTTTAATAGTTATTCTGCTTTTTTGGCCGGAGACAAATCAAACAAATCAAAGATCATAACAATCGGTCCAGCCGTTCTTAAATTATAAATGGTGTAAAACTAACCTGACTTTGTTCTATAGATAAATAGGCAAAAACAAATCAGTTTTGTTCCTCTCTCTGTATGTCAACCGATTTTCTTTATTTGTTTATTAGTTATTGACGAGCTTTAGTTAGCTAATTTTTTTTTTGATAACATCAATAAGAAAAATGGTTAAAATTTAACAACAATAGTTTGTATAAGGCGTAAAAGGCGTTGGGACGTGACGACCCCACCGCCCGCTGGTGGGATAATCTAGTGACAGAGATTATTCCACCAGTGCAATCAGTCAACCAAAAACTGTGGTAGTGCCAGAGTCTCAGAAGGCCCACTCCCCACCCCTCCCCCACACTACTAAATTTATGATAGTGCGAAATTTTGTCAGCCTACCCCAGGAGGGTACCACCAGCGCACATCACGGTGGAGAATCCCTCTCTGGGCATCCATGTTCAGCTCGTACTACTACCCCTTTTACACTTGCTGTGGACTTCTGCAACATAAGGGGACTAAATTCCAACTTGAACGCCATCCACTTCCACCTTGAGACGGCAAAGCCGGCCTTGCTCTTCCTTACCGAGACGCAGATATCGTCCCCGGCTGACACCTCTTTCCTCTCTTACCCGGGGTACAATCTGGAGCATTCCTTTGTACCGCGGGCTGGAGTGTGCGTCTACGTCAGAGAGGACATCTGCTCTCGTCGCCTCGGCAGCCTTGAAGGGTGAGACCTATCCATCCTCTGGCTACGTGTAGACTGCGACGACCATCCGCGAATCTACGCGTGCCTGTATAGGTCTCATAGCGGCAATGCCGAAACTGACCGACTCGTTGAGCACATGCAAATGGCTACAGATTCCATGCTCCAGCAGATCCCATCCGCAGAGATCGTGATTCTCAGCGACTTTAACGCCCATCAAGCCCTGCGGTGTTGCAGATGTCCATGGGCGGCGGTGATTACTTCTTCAGGTGAGCCTCCTGCCCGTTTGCCCCCTTAGTCCCATAAAAAAAATTATAACAGTTAACCAAACTGCTCGATTAGGATTAGGACCTAGAAGACTAAAATAGCGACAGGAAATACTATGTGGCAATGGCATAAACAACATCTTGGAAATAATCAATTCTCTTAATATATCCCTTTAATTTTATAGAAAAGCAGCTAGGCAGTGCCGGGACAGAATGCTCGTCTTTTTAACCATGATATTATGGTTCTGTATTAGAAATAATTTTTATCAACATTTTTTTTTTGATATATAATAAGCTAGAATGATATCTTCACCTACCTTACAATTTTGAGTTTTGGAAACAGTAAAATTACAATTAAACATTAGCGCTTACCTTTGAATCGATATGAATTTATATCTTTTATATAAATAAACACTACAAAAAGAAAATATTTCATATTTTCCTATATTATTATTAATTTTTAAGCCAATATAATTACAAAACATGTAAAACTACAATTTAATTATTGTACTTTTGCAAACAGACGTGTGGAAGTCCCTTAACCAATTGGAGCTTTTTGTCGACTTACAACTTTATTCTACTGACTACAAAACTTCGCAACTTTGATTGCGTTTCATGAACAGGTGTGACTGACTCTAGAAGCTGTAAGAATCTTATTAAGATAGTTTTATCTCGGTTTATTTGAATATTCTCTTACTTTGTAGGTCGAGATTGATTCTACGTACTTTTATCATACGTATAATATTTCCGTCATAATCTCTCTATTGCTGAAGAGCATTATTCCTTTGGGATCTACGTCATCTTGATAAATGCAAATGTTTATGTCAGTTTTTCTTTCTGTCATGCAGTATAAAGTAAAGAATTGGCACAATTCTTGCATATATAGATACATATAGTTTAGTGATATAGACGTTTTTTCTGGTGTATAAGGTAAAAGAATTTACTTAGTTTAATGCAATTTTATATAACTAGCGGAGGAAGTAAACAGACGTTGTCCTGTCAAAGACCTCGTTTAGTCGAATATTAAAAAAAACTGGTTCTCGATGACAGAACTACTAGGCTTCAACTTCTAGACTTCAATTATAGCTAAGAACCATTCAGGTTATCCCATAGAAAATCATCAAAATCGGGCAAGCCTTGGCAGTTTTAGGAAAAAAATTACGAGCACAGGTTTCTACATAATAAATATTTGTAACTGTTATATATATTTTATGTTTCAGGTACAACCGTCTCGTGCTGTGATAGTATCCTGTAAGTAATCTGAAAAACTTTTCATAGCTTTTTATAGAATTTGTTCTTAAAATGTATAAAGTATATGACATTTTGAGCTGACTTATGTATATACATATAACAAGATTGTAAATGAAACGAATCTGTACATAAAATATTTTTTTGGAAAATCTCATTGAAATAGTCATTATTATCGATACAGAGGCCGAATCTATAGTTTTTAGATTTTTTTCTGTCTGTCTTTCTGTCTGGGAACGCATCTCGAGAAAACCACTGGACAGATTTTGATGAAATTTGAGATGAAGATAGCTGGTTATCCGAGTCAACATATAGGATACTTTTTACTGCGGGAAAATATCTCACATGTGAAAAATCTATACTAAATGTTAAAATAATAATAAATAAAAAGTATATTTAAAGTACCTATATATAGCGTAATCCCACGTCTACCATAAAGCTTATCGCGTCTCTTTTAGTATATCGGCATATTGAAGAATTCCTTTGATATTCGATATTAGCTTTGGTATTTAAATTAAATTTCTTCATAAACTAAAATATGTTATTAATCTTCTAGCACATTCATTAGAATTTACTGTTATCTATATATAAATAAGTAAAGGTAAAACAGTTCTGTACTTATTTTCTCCTCTGTTTGTCAACCGATATGTTTTTTTTATTATTTAGTAGCTATTGACGAAACCTTCAAATTCGTACTATCTATACTAATATTATAAAGAGGTAAAGTTTGTGAGTTTGTGAGGTTGTAGGGGGTAATCTCTGGATCTACTTATTGGGTTATGGACTTAAATGAAACGAAACACTTCACTTTTAAATAGACTTTATATATTTGAACTTTATAATTAACACTAGGAAGGTATCACACAACCGAATATTTACACTTTAAGAGACAGACGTTAACAGAACAGAAATAGCAAAGTTACGCAGTTTAAATACGCTTAGCCAATATTAGTCATAACAACTACTTATTTAATTAAGATTAATTTTTGAATATTAAATTGAAGTTAATAATACCAACACGCCCCCTCAAAAATTAATCGGTAACATATTATTTACATATAGGATCATAAAAACCTTCCTAATGCTTCCCTGGGAGTATTAAAATCATTATGGTCCAACATTTGTTGCTAAGGGCCAGGAAAACCCAGGAAAACCTGACCAGACCATATAATTACAAAGACAACATTTGTAAAATTAGTTAACAATTTGTAAATATAAAAAAATATAATGGTTATTCTAAACCCATATTCCACCTTAATTGCTGAAAAGCAACTGCTGGAAGTGGCTTAGTCAGTGCATCCGCTAATTGCTGACCTGTTGGAATATAATTTAATTTTATTATATTTCTTTCAATCTGTTCCCTAGAAAACTGGTATTTTATATCAATGTGTTTTGATCGTTTATGATTACTTGGATTACTGGCAATACTAATACACCCATTATTATCTTCATAAATTGCTATGGGTTTTGTAATACATAAATTAATACTTGTGGCTAGAGACTTAAGCCATAACGCCTCTTTAACAGCTTCATACAAAGCCATATATTCAGCTTCGGTAGAAGAAGCTGCTACAGATGCTTGCCTCTTTGTATTCCAAGTAATTGTACACTGTTGAAATAACTTAAACAAGTAACCCGTAGTGCTTTTTCTATCACTATTATCACTACCACTCCAATCAGAATCTACATATCCACTTAATATATTATCATAGTCACTAGACTTTCGGTAAGTTAATTTTAAATTAATTGTGCCTTTTAAGTATCTTAGTACTCTTTTTAGACACTTCCACAATTCTTTATTATTTTTATTAGTATATCTACTTAATATATTAACACATGTACTTAGATCAGGACGAGTACATAACATGAGATACATTAAGTTGCCCACAAGACTTCTACATGGTGCATTATAAGTGTCCTCTGATTGTAGCGCTTCATAATTTACTTTAGTTTCTAAAGGTGTACTTATAGGCTTACAATCTTGCATATTAAATTTATTTAAAATAAATTTAATATAAGAACTCTGATCTAAAGTTATTATATTGTTGTGGTGCCTGGTGACTTTAATACCAAGAAACAATTTAATTTGTTGCAAATCAGTCATTTGAAATCTTTTCATTAAATAACTTTTTATTTCAATCAGGATGTTAATATCACCACAAGCTATTACTACATCATCAACATACAATACTAAATAAACATTTTTACTCACATTACCATTATTTAAAATATATATACACCTATCAACTGACGAATTTTGAAAAATTTTTTTTTCTTTTAGCACCTGTTCAAAAACTTGAAACCAACATCTAGCTGCTTGTTTCAATCCGTACAATGCTTTGTTTCATTTACACACATAGTTATTGTTACTTACTATACCTTCAGGTACTTTCATATAAACTTCCTCATTTAAGTTACCATTTAAAAATGCTGTTTTTACGTCTAAGTGGTGAATTAACAAATTAAATTGGTTAGCAAAGGCAACAATAAATCTAAAGCTAGCTATTCTTGCAACCGGTGCAAAGGTTTCATTATAATCACATAGATATTGTTGATTGAATCCTCTGGCAACTAAACGGGCTTTGTACCTTATGGGTTTTCCGAATTCATCATTTTTTATATTAAAAACCCATTTGCAATCTATAATATTTTTGTCTTTTGGTTTTGGAACTAACGTCCAAGTTTTATTGATTAAAAGTGATTTTATTTCATCTTGAATTGCATTTTCCCATAATGTTCTATTAGGATGAGATTTTATTTCATTATAGGAATTTGGTATATTACATAAGAATTGAGCATACATTAAATAATCATTATCAGTTTCATCATAACAAATTGGGCGTTTGTTTTTTTAATCTATCACTCCTCCTAAGCTCAACTATACTATCAGTATTTTGGTTAAGATTGCTATCTAATTGTGAAGTTAAATTATCATCACTAATTTTGCGAAATTTTGTGGGACTGTTACTTATAACATCAGATTTATCATTATCTGATTTAGAGCTACTAGGCTCCTGAGACTTAAATGACACTGATTTAGATGCATCAGTTTTATTATAGGAATATTCAATATTATTCCTTTCAGGCTTTAAGACGGGCCTGGTATGCATGAAAGTTGTCTCATCAACAATAACATCCCTTACTATAACATATTTTTCGCATTCTACATTCCACACTCTATACCCATTTGGTTCATAGCCCACCAGTATTCCTTTCCAAGACTTTTCATCAAATTTTGACGTACTGGTTTTATTATGGACATATACAGTAGAACCAAAAACTTTTTAATATTTTATACTAGGTTTCCTATTATGCTATAGCTCGAATGGTGTTTGAAAGACTTTTAAAGCTTTAGTCGGTGTTATATTAATTAAATAAACGGCAGTTAAAACTGCATCACCCCAAAAAACTTTATCTAATTTAGCACCATTTAATATAGTACGAGCCTTTTCAGTTATAGTTCTAACCATTCTTTCTGAAACACCATTCTGCTGTGGGGTTCCTGGTACAGTTAAATGGTAAGTAATCCCTTTTTCAATACAAAAATTTTTCATTTCAGTAGATAAATACTCCCTACCGTTATCACTATAAAGATTAACTAATTTACAATTAAACTTCGCTTCACTTTTTGCAACAAAATCTTTAAAAACTGAAAATACATCTGATTTATATGTTATGAGGTACGTAACACAATAATGAGTAAATTGATCAACAAATAATACGAAATAATTTTTGTTGTTAAGAGTAGTAGGAGTGATAGGCCCACAGACATCCGTATGAACTATGAATAATGGTTGATCAACATAATTTTTATCCTTAGCCTTATTAAATGACAACCGTGTTTGTTTTCCGTTAATACAAGCCTCACACAAGCTATCACTAGGAATTATAGATTCTATTAGATTTATGTCATCAACAATATTATTATTCTTTAATTTAAAAAAAATATTTTTACTAATATGGCCTAAACGTTGATGCCATAATTCATAAGTATTTTTACTGTTACGCAATTGTGAAACAGATTGACAAATGTTAGGTATTCTAAATTCTATAGCAATTAAATTGTTCATACGCTTACCTCGTATTATGGTTTTACCATCCTTAAGTATTTGGGCATCTCCTTGATCAAAGATCACCGTCATTCCAGCTCGTTGTATCTTCGAAACGGATAATAAATTGTACGGGACTTCTGGGCAGAAGAGTACATCCTCCAAAACCCCTTGAACATCCATGTCGCTTATAACGATGATACTTCCTCGCTTAGTAGCTGAAATAAATTGATTGTGTTTAGCAACAGATAATTTGACAGGTGTTTGTAAATTAGTATATTTAATGAAAAGATCATCCCTGTTAATGATGTGATCTGATGCTCCCGAGTCTAGTAAAAATATTAACTCATTTTCTTGCACATTTTGTCCTAAAAATTGTTGTTTCATCATAAATGCAAATCCAGAAGAATTATTTAGTTGTGATGTCGATTCTGGAGTCAATTCAACTGCCTGCACAGTTCTTGTCTTTTTCTGTTGATTCAGCCTTTTAAAATAATAACAATCTTTCTTCATATGTCCTTTTCGTCCACAATAGTGACATTTTTCAATATATGATTTCGTCCTTTTATTGAATTTATTGTTTTGTTGATAATAATTATTTAACGGTTTTTGATTACCAAATTTTCTTCTTTTATAACAGTCGTTTTTGTTTTCTATTTGTAAAATCTTTTTACTGGTATCACAACTTTCATTCTTTAATTTTACTTCATGATCCAACAGTCTAGTCTTGACAAAAGATAAGGTTAAATTGTCTTCAGATAAAGTTTCTATAGCAGTTATAACACCATCGTAGGTATTTGGAAGTGTAAGTAATAAATGTGACACTTTATCGGTTTCTTCTAACTTAGCTCCCGCTGCCATTAATTCCGTTATTAAATCATCGAAAATCATAAAATCTCTTATTAATGGTGTATCTCCCTGTAATTTTAACCCCAATAATTTCTTCCGTAATGCT